AGCCTATCTGCTTCAAGATTCAAAGATGTTGTGCATTCAGAGATGCTTCTGCTTCTTCTTCTTCTGCATGCTTTGGTTTTAATGAACTTTTTTTCTGGGATATTGTATCTTCCTATCAGCTAGAACCAGTCGCGCCTTTCTCCACTGACCTTTGACATCAACAAAGCGTTTTCACCCAGAAAACTGCCGCTCACTTGATGTTTTCTCTTTTTCAGACCATTCTCTATGAACCCTAGAGGTGTTTAGAAAATCCCAGTTTCTGAAATACCAGCTCACTTGGTCCTGACAACCATACTACGATCAAAATCTCTTAAATAACCTTTCTTCTCCATTTGGTTTGAACTTAAGCATCTTGACTTGACAGGTCTACATGCATAAATGCACTGAGTTGCTGCATTGTGACTGGCTGATTAGATATTTGCATAAACAAGCAGTTGAGGAGGTGTATCTTAAAGAAGTGGCCAGTGAGAGCACGCACAAAAATCGCTTGGTATAAACTGAATATATACCAATCAAGTACATTTCATTTGAACAGGTAACTTAAATGTAACATTTTACATTGCACTTATGCAACATAGTTACGTGTAACCAAATAACCAAAAATCATCAGTTTGGGAATACATGTTAAGAAAAATGGCCTCCCTATGCTTTACCTTTAAACACGTCCTTATCTGGAAACTAATAGAACAAGTTGCATCAGAGTTATGACTTTATTATTATAGGTCCATATTTGTAGACGATATGTCTCGACAGGTTGGTCCCCTTTGAGTGGAGGTTTGTGGTCTAGATTTCATTAAGTATGCAATCAGTCGTTTGTGTGTTTTTGGCTGTCAGTAAAATTATGCAAAAACCTCCAAGCTGACTATAATTAAAACCCAGTGGAGAGGTGGAGTATGAGCAAACCCATTAAACAGAGCGAAGCTGGATCGCTTTCTTCAAAACTGCGAGATGGGGCAGTGAAACTGGTGAAAGGATGCACTTTTCCAGTGATTAATGGAAAGACAAACATTAGGTAGCTCTTGTTTGAGCCAGAGTTAGACATGCTGGAAGGATGCCTCGGGTTTAGAGTTTCACCCTTTCACACTGTTGCCTCCCTTTATGCTCAACTCTCACTCTGATTTTTCTTTTGTGCTTTTCTCCGTACACGGCTTCTTGTGATTAAAGTGACCCAGACTTCATATTCTGTTGTTACAGTATCTAATCCGTTGCATCAGAGACTGCTTTCATGTAGCTAAAGAAGTATACTCTGAGGTTGGAGGCTTATCAAAATACACCACTGATGCAGGCATAGTAATTGTTATTATTAGATTTTCTGCCATGCCAACAGTAAGCAGTGGGCTTGCATGAGACAATTTAATTGACTGGTCACGGGTTCTCTGATTGGACATGGAAAAGGAGGCTGTTTTGAAATAAACACTGGAGTGACAGTTTGGAGGGTTTTCTTCTGAAATGAAGACAGGCACATTCAGTGATACTGAATTATATCTATACTGCTTTGCTTGCACCTTGGCATTCACATAATCTATTCACATTAAATAAAAAAGAAACTGTTAAATTTGACACTAAATTAGCTGTAAACGTTAGAGCTGGCAACAAAATTTGTCACTAAATTAAACAGCTTTTAGTTTCCACCACTTCGATCTTCCTTTCCTTTACTGCTAAAATCCACAAATCTCACTTTTAGCACTTCAAAAAATTTAAGAAAAATCTGCAAACAGTCCTGTAATGTAAATGAAACAATCATGCAACTTAAAAAGAAAATGTTCTAGCAGGACATCATATTCAGCTCTCGTTATTAACAAAATCACGTCCTGGTCTTTGGTTTTTAGGCGTGTGGGGTGTTAATAGCTCATTTATTACATCGTTGTAACTGGAGCGTGGACTTAATGCGAGCGAGAAACGCTTTTACTTCTTTTCTAAATTTCCCATAAATGCCTGCTGATTTACCTGATGTTGTTCTTCTTGCAGTTGCAGTTGCAGAAGACCAAATATTTGCAGCTGGGGCAGAACCGTGGGCAGTACTATGGAGGATCCTTGCCAAACGTCAATCAGATTGGAAACAGCACGATCGACATGCCTTTTCAGGTGCAGGATTGCTTATCTTTCCTTTGCCTTTCACATTTACAACTAAAATATACCTGGTGTAGGTCAATTCAATCTGTGGTCTTAACTGCAAAAATATATTGTGTGATATAAATAAATAAATACCCCCATTTTTTCCCAATCTCTATGGGTAAGTAATATCCTGCAGTATTGACTGGTCGCTTTTTTTAGACATCCTGTGGTTCTTTTTCCCTGGACTAAATATTCTTCTACAGGAAGTCACATACTTTGTGTAAGTCACTTATGTAAGCAGTATATGAACAAAAATAATACTTTATTTAGAGGCAGTGTAAGTATCCAAGGCCACAGCCTACATTAGGTTTGTATACGGTTGTAGCATGGCTCGGCGCAGGCTCTGTCCAATAAACACTGTGTACACAGTCCTGCAATAACTTTGAAGTTTATATGTTGCTGCCGCAGCGTAATAAGAACGTTCTTGAAGCCACGTCTGTCACACCAAATTTGAATTGTGTGTTTTATGTGCAGGGAGCCACAGCTTCATGCTGGGCTTCAGTGCACTCGGCAACAACGTGAACAGAAGCAGAAGTTTTTTTTATTGCTTTAAATTGTTTTCAGGAGCAGCTTCAAAGGTGGCAGGAAAGGATTTGCATTAATTGTCGACAGAAACATAAAAGAAATGTCAGTCTTCAGTGAAAGCCTTAAAACTGATATTGCACAATAATGAATGTTAGAAATTGAAGGGAAAAAGGGTCAGGAGGTTGTGTGTAATTTGTTCTGAATAATAGGTTTCATTTTATTTGGGGAAATAAAAAAAGAAAAAATCATTGCGTTCAGTGCTATCTGCAACGCGACTGCTGCGTTGCTTAGTGTGTCAGTCTGTGTATATGAGAAAGAAGAGCTTCTCCATGTTTTATTCTCTCAGCCAGTGCTGGAAACAGTCTCTTGCTTGAAAGGCACTGAAGCTGCACAGCAAGACAGAAAACATCTGTCATGTGGGCTAAAAAGCCCTTGTCCTTGAAATTTCCACGGAATAGCTTCAGACAAATGGAACAAGATACCAACCTTTAAAAAAAAGGAAAATGTAATGCAGTTTCGTAGTTTTAATTTTCTTTGCCAATGAAATGACAACCCTCAAAAAAACAACAAACAAACAAGTTGAAGAACACGCGTAGAACATAATGCACACATTTCAGATTTTCTTTTTCCAGTCTTCCCCCATCCTTTTCACCCCGGACCACTTTACCTTTCATTCCTGTGCTACATGCTCATAGGAAGTGTTTATTCTCTGCTGGCCAATAGCAGTGTAACTGAGGTAAAGTGCTGACTACCGTGGCTGCCGCAGTGCTTTTTGTAGATTAATGACCTCAAAAACTCTCTTGTTATTGTTACACATTCAGCTCTAATAGTGCAGGCCGGTGAGGAGCTGAAAAGTAATGTTTGCAATTTGCGCAGTTCATTACCCATTTTTTTCCTTGTCTTTATTTGTCAGAATTCAGGGCTCGACATGAACAGGTCGACGCGACACCACGGATTGGTGGAAAGAGTCTACCGCGATCGGAACCGCATCACATCGCCCCACCGGAAACCCCTGTCTGTTGACAAACACGGACGACAGATATCCTTTTATGCTGCCTGTTGGGTGAAGTGTTGTTTAATGTTGGTTTTTATCTGGTTTCTGAGCTTCAGTTTAAATCAGAGTGCTTGGTCAAAACTTCACTCGGTCAAATTTTTCTTTAGGAGCAGTAGAGTGGCATTTCTGCAGATTATTGGGAATTTACGCAGATGTTATCCTACCAATGCATGCCCCATGCTACAGTATTTGTTTTGTCCTGTTCATGCTGTTGGAAGCCTGATATACTTAATCACACTGAGAAAAAACAAACAAACATGTTTATATCCTAAAAATGGGTCAGTTTAACCCATTCCTAGGTGCTTACTAGGCATGAATATTTCAGCTTTTTGTGGATTCAAATGAGAAGTAGCTTTGAAATGAAAAACGATAGGGATGTCTCATAAACTGCTGTAGGTGCACGAAGCCTAAAAACAGGTCATTTTAGCCTGTCGCTAGGTGGTTGCGGGGCAACACGATGCCATCATAATGTGTCATGCATAATTTAGCTTTTGCGAATACAAATTAAATGTTACTGTTGTGAAATACAAACGATACAGTGCTTTTATAAGGTGCATAAGTGCAAAAAAATGGATCGTTTCAAACTGTTGCTGGGTGGTTGCTAGGCAATGCGATGATGCCGCAGTATCTGATATAGATAAGAACCTTCCGGGGCCTAAGATGAACTTGTGTGCACAGGTTTGGTTGCTCATCTTCTAATGCTCTCGGAGGAGTTGGTGGACAAAGAAACCAACGCACAGACAGACAGAGATTTCATGTATTATGATAAATATTCAGTGGGAGGAGTTTGGCTGGGAATAACATGGTGTCAACAGCTGAACATTAGCATCGTGGAGATGTTAATAAACCATAGTCTGCACACACCCACACAGTTCTGAGAACAGGACTAATCACACAGTATAAGTGAAACCACCTGCGGGCTCTCATCATTCTCCAGCAGAAGTCAATGCAAATCTTTAAACTGTATTATTGTTTTTTAAAGCTTAATATATGCATAAAATATACATTTGTGTTTAAATGCTCCTTCGTGGTAGCATAATTGGAAAATACACAGTGCAGAACAAGCAATTATTAACACCTTTTCATTAATAATGCTGTTGTATTCAGCCAGCTTTTGAAATGGAAGTGCTTCTTGATTTCAGATTTTTAGATCTTAATCAAACTCTTTGTGGGCATTTTTGTAAAAGACTTCGGCCTGTAGGTAATGAAAGTGTACCCTGTATTGTAGAAGATCACCAAGCACAGTGCTTTTTTTTATTTATTTATTTTTTGAATTCACAGAAGAGAGTACACTGATTCTGCCAAGGCTTTATTCTCCAGCTGTTATTTCTTAACCTGCGATGTCACATTGACAGCTGTCCATATGGCTCTGTATATCTCTCGCCGCCACCTGATACTAGTTGGAGGAGGTAAGACGGTCTCTGATAATGACACAATGTCTCGGCATGGCCTTCTTGCAACTAAATGCATTTTTATTTTCACCTGTCATGAAGAAACGTGTTCAGATAATAACGCAAGCCACATTCAGAGTGGAAAGACCCAAGAGGCTAACACTCTGACTGTGAAATCCTTCTGCATTGTCACATATTTAATGACTTTCACAGTTTTCTGCCATTGAGAAAAATTATTGAAATGTTTATATTTACACTTCAAACTATTCCAGTGTCCTTATTCTAGTGTTAAACATTTAAAAATAACTGACTGCTGCATGTGATGTTGTTGTCGCGCAGTGCTGTAGTTGCCCACTATGTACTTTTTTGTGCTATTCGGGTAGATTTTGTCTATAGATCGCCTTATGTGAGTTTAAAATTCTTGTGCTGCAGGACAAACTCTGACTCAGCACTGCATCAGAGCACACTAATTCCTGCCCAGCAGGCCTCCTTCACTGGAGGATCACAGGAGCTGCAGCCAAAACGAGGTACACAAGATTTCGAAGATGTTCTCGTCATGTAGTGTAAGAGACATGTTCATTAGTGTGGTGTGTGTCAGCTCACTTCATACAGACACCCTGCATGAAATGAGCTTTTAACTCTGCCTTGAATTAGTCTATATGTGCTTTTTAAATTAGTGTTTTTTTGCATTATCTGCAGAATTCAGTGTTATTTGTTTTTTTGTTTTTTTTTGTGATCCTGTTTAGTTTTTGTGGTATTTTGTTGCTTTCTCCTGACGACTCAGTGGAAGCGCCCTCCAGTGTATGATGAAAGGGTTTGAATGCGGCTTTGAAGGCAAGAGGAGGAAAATTGATTGCTGTGCAGATGGTGCGCATTCAAGTACCATGTGAATTTCGCTCCTAATGGCCATGTGAGGGGAATTATGTCAATTTTAGAAGCACTTTGGTTGAATTTGTATGTATCATCTTGGAGAAGTGCTTGTGCTTTTACCCATTATTTGCATTCAGAATTCTTTTTTCTTTTACTAATGTCACACTTCTTGTCTACTTTCTTTTTTTGTTTTTGTTTTTCCTCTTTTTAAAGGAACCTTTTTCTTCCCACTGTCATCAAGTGCTTACTCAAAGGGAATTGCTGGGTACCTTGTCATCATTTTGTACCTTACAATGCAATAGTGCTTGGATATATATAAATTCATGTATATATATGTTGTAACTTGACGCTACATACATTAACGACTGCACTTACTCACTTGATCTGATTAAATGAAGGCAGTTATTATGAGCTTCAACAGGCAGGACATCTGTAGATCCAAGAGATTGAGGAGATTTATTTTTTAATTTCTCCATCTCTCGCTCTCGCTCTCCCCAGTCCTCCTACTCACTGTACCGGGGTCTGAAGCAATTAAACAAGAGGTGGATGAAGATGGACAGAAACATAACTGGGACAGCAAAAAAGTAAATCTTCACACAAAATGTTTTTCACTTGAGTATTTCACTGGTCTTCCTGATACACTAGTTGTCTTTTTTTCTCCCACTTTAGAACATTTCAAGATCCAAGCCCTGCAAAGTTCCTGGAATCCAGTGAGTTTTAATGTCTTAGGTTGTCTAAGGATACCTTCCTCTATAGTCTGAGTAACACAATGAAATTATGTTTCAGTGTAAATATTTTTGGGGGGCACGTTGGTCTCACTGTTACGATATAGTGTTTAAATCCAGAAAGGAAGCTTCGGCTAGGTACGTGTGTACACAAATCTGATGAATGGGTGTGAATAAAGCGTAGTTTTGAACTGAAAGCATCTGACTGTAGTTCAACATTTTCATTTTGACTCGCTCAACTGCCAAAGGAATGAGAGTGTGGAGCCAAAAGATTTGCAAAAATACCCTGGGCCAAATGCATGAAGTCCAAATATCTCTGGACTTGTTTGCCTCGGGAGACATTTCCAAGTAATCTGAATAAGCTACTGGTGTTGGCGGTTCTGCTATTTCATCACCGAGTATATCGAGCATGTCATCGCTGGAGAGTTTACGGCACCCATCTGTTTTTCTGCAGCATTTTCCCGTCTCCAGAACAGCAGCTGACCGCTTCGATGAAACCAGCAGCCCACAACACTGGCGGCTCTCTTCCCGATCTGACCAACATCCAGTTCCCTCCTCCGCTGCCCACCCCGCTCGACCACGACGACCCAGCTGCCGCCTCGTTCGGCTCCCAGAGCAGCACGCAGGCTCTGGGTAACACACAAGGTGGTAATAAGCACTCTCTGCTCTGTTCTCTCTGGACATATCTTAAAGTTATGTGCAGGATATGAAGGATCTTGGATTTCAGCATTTGCCACTTGTTTGGTGCCAAGTTGGGTCTTTAAGGAAACTGTTTTCTTGTGCTGGGTAGGAGTGAACACGTCTCAACCCACAGTAGCCATGGAAATCCAGGCCGGGCAGGATAGTGTGATTCCTCTCATCCTGAACGCGGGAGACTCCCACCAGCACCAGAACCTGCAGCTCTCCCCAACAACTCCACCTCTCACTCTCTCCCAGGTACTCAAGAGGAAAGCGTTGTACATTAATAGACATAGAAACAGTGTCATGATTTGTAGGCAGGCTACAAATACTGAAATGAATGCTTTTTGAGGTTTCTGTCATATAAAGTGCCGTGCTCCCAACAGGCAGCCATTAATGCCATGAACCTGGAGCAGCAGCTGTCCCAGTACGCCTTCTTCAGCCAGCAGCCGTCGTCCCAGACACACCCAAACCAGCAAGTGAGTTTCTATCCAAAGCCACAGCTCAAAACATAATAAACTTGATCTCATTCATATGTACGAACATCCAGTTTTATATAGTATTATGACCACTTGCCAAAAAAAATCAATGAATGAGTCAACAGCAGTTGTTTAACTCGGACGTGTGGCTCGTTTTGTTTTCATTTACCCGTTTTAAACATCCAGAGGATTGCTGAGCGTTAGTCCATCTGCATATGAAGCAATTCGCTCACTGTCTGCCGCTTTACAGCTGACAGTTGGTCGCCCTGCCCTGTTGTTAGTTACTTCAAACAATCACCTCAGAGTTGAGAGTAGTTTAACTTGCTTTCTGCCCACCGCTAAAGCCAAATCACTGCTAGTCACTTCCTCTTAGAATGTCTATCACCTTAGGTCAGAGTTATTTGAAGCCGAAAAGATAAAGGGAAACTTTCAGCAACGTGCTCTCCTACACAACATGCTGCCAGTGCAGATGTTGCATATCGCTGCCCCCTCCCCCTGGCACTGACTCACTTTCTCTCTCACTCCCTCGCTTTTACCCGTGGTTTGTGGACATCTTTTCATTTTCTCCGCAGTTTTGGTTGCATTTCCTCTCCGGTTTTCTCTTTTCTGCCGCAGCCGTTCCTTAAACTCTTCCTTATAAGGAATTATATTTCTTGGGCCCGCTATAGTAGCTGCAGTGGATTCACACTCGAATCACACTCTCGAACTTGTCATGTCATGTACAACATACAGAGAAGCGTCTGATCATGTTTGTTATTGGTAGTAGTAGAGAATGAGTCATTATCATCTGAAGTTAAGTCTAAATTTTGGAATTGATGAAATAATTTACTTAGTAAAAGTTATTCTGGGTCTTCCAGCCAATCCTGGGTCCTGAATTTTCAGTGGCTGTGGAAGTCAGGAAGTTTCACTGGAAATTAGGATCGAGTCCATTCCTTTACAAACCTGTTGCTGTGTTTCAGTTTGTGACGCTGGCGTTGTGGTCTGCTTTCCATTTCATCAGTCTGTCAGCTCCCTAAGCCTCCAATCTCGGGATTATGTTTATTAATGCAAGTACAGCTAATCCCAATCTCCAAGTCTTTCCAACTTCTTCCAATATTTTTGGATTTATGAATGTTTTCATTCTTTTCATTCTAAGAATGTTCATACATTTTATCTCTGTTTATCACATGAACGCTAAATCATTTGAAACTGTAGCTTTATGTTAAATGTTACTGAACACGTGTCCTAACAAACTGTAATCATGAAGCCGTTCATGTTTAACTGAAATGAAAATGCATTTTTGTGTTCCACAGCCCATTAAAAAAAAAAAAAAAAGAATATTACAAAACTTTGATGTTAGCCAGACTTTAAGATCTCAGACTTAATGTTTATCTGCAGCTGCTGCTGCTTTTTAATTAGATTGATAGCATCCAGATTGTGAATGAGTGAGTAAGATGAAAAATGAGGGGAAAAATAGATAAACTGCATTTAATGACGATGATGCGTTTTGGCTCTCATGGGAACATTCGACTTACTTTGACTTACTTACGTTTACTCGTCTGTGATTCAGTCACCTCTCTATTGTTGAGATGTTTAATGAGATGGAATTAGAGAATAACCACACCAGAGTTATAGGAGCAGCAGTTCATAAATGAATTATTATAACTATATTTTTCTAATAAGGTTCCAAATAAATAATAAAACCTATGATGATTTCAGTTACCAGTTAGTTGGAAGAAAACTTCGCAAACTCTTTGATATTCCTGTCACGTCTGCTTTTATTTCATTTACTTTGATTACTTTTTGAGCAGATCTTCATTTTTGCCACAGTTGACTAAAAATAAAAACGCACCAACAACTGTGCTTTCCATGTCTTTATTCAACATACTGAGTTATTATCAGAGAGGCTGTAAAAAAAAAAAAAAGTGAATCCCTGCTAATTGCTTCTCCAAAAGCTGTTTGGATTCAGGTGTTCCAATTATGAAGATGAGACTAGAAGTGTGGGTTGTAGAGGTTGTTCTCAGTAAGAAAGCCATAGAGAGTTTTCTCTTGTGATAACTATGACTCAGTCACAAAAGCTTTCTCGCTGGGTTTTTGCACAAACCTCTTAAAAGCTACAGACACATTTCCAAGAATCTAGGCGTTCATCGGTCCACAATGAAATAAACAGAGGAGATAATGACGTGGGGCTATTGGGATCACAGCAAGTGCGAATACACGCGGTCCTGAAGAAGGTACAAAGAACCCAAGGCCAACTGCAAAACACCTGCGGAGATCTCGCTAACTTGCTAAAATCTTTGTTCGTGTGTCTCAACTCCCAGAACAACAGATGAGACGCAAGTATAACATTTTGACAAAAAATACACAATGATTTACTTAGAGGGGTAACAGTAAAACCATATCCCTGCTGCCTCGGGGTCTGGGAAAAAAGACATTTCACAGGAGATTGTCAGTGCAGCAGTCCTTGTGCATAGTCAGGTCAGACTCTTCACCTTTAACTAGAAAGTTTATGTGTGTGTTTTTTTTACATTTTGGCATGAATCTTTGACAATAAAATTCAACAAAAACATATAAAACTCTAAAATCTAAACTCCTAAAAATGTCACATAAAAGGCAACTTGTAGCCTTTTATGTGATTTTTTTTTTCTTTTGATGTGTTTTCATATCTGCCAAGATGTAATAAAATAAGATATGAATATAATGCGTGTGTGATAAGCAAGCATTAAAATTATACAGTGGTGCTTAAAGATTAGTTATCTATTTATGAGTCCACTGCTTATTTTCCAGCAGGCAGGTCTGGTCCAGCTGCCGTCCTCGGTGAACTCCTGCTCCCCGTCAGACAACCAGGCGTCCTCGCAAACCAACATGACCATCGACATGAACGTGGTGAGCAGTCTGTGTCTCGCTGATTTGTTGCAACAACAACCCAGCGATGACTGGTTCTCCTTGGCTGGTTCCCAGTTTTCCCGAAGAACTGTTTTCAGATGGTGTTAACGTGTTGGGCTCGGGGTTTCGCGAACACACTGCCACGTCGAAGTAATCAGAACTGATCTCGTAGACGTTCAGCTGTGACGTGAAGTTGTCCAAGAGTGTGTTTTGTAACAGACGTTTTGCTTGGGGGGGGGGGGAAACGACGTGAAAATAGGACTGTGTGTGACAGTGCAACTGTTCTTTCTTTGTTATTTTAACTATGATACAAAACCATAATTTTGCAGTCCCAGAATTTCTTTGTTTCTCTGCAGAGTTCAAGTCCCCCCCAAAAACCACTAAAGCAGAATGTAAAAAAAATGCACAAAGAGATTCGCAAAACATCCGTGAATCTGAAAGCTTCTGTAAGGCGCTGTTTCTCCTTCAGATCTTGGCTCTCGCTGCTTCGCTCTACTGTTGCGATGGGAATGTGTTTGGATTACTGCAGAAATGAAGTGGCCTACATTCTCTTCATCTCCGTAAAAGACTGTGCGGCGTGAGGTCACGGAAAACGCAGAGGAAACTCGCTGGGATCTGGATCTTAGACTTGTATTCTTGTTATTAAACCGTTAATAAGGAAATGTTTTTATCACTTTACAGTCAAAGTAATGTCAAGGAAAACATCACCTTCTTTCATTTTCAGGCGAGTTCAAACAGGTTTACTCGACGCCACTGACCAGGTCACCGGTTTATAGCTCTATCCATAGACCTTGAACTCCTTTTTATCGCTCTCATCTCATGCTACCATTATTTTGGTAACTTATCTTTTAATAGTTTAGGAGTTTAAAGGTTTGAACGCCTCGTTGACTTGTAAATGATTAAACATTATCAGCCTCATTTGATAAATCTCAATTACTTGATGGCGTATCTGTTGCTTACTTGGAAGGTTTTATAGTACTTTTTTTTAATTTTGTTAGACAGTATAAAAAACATCTGATGATAGGACAGAACAAGAGATAGCAGAGTGGGTTTTCCCTGGTCACTATTTTTAAAATATTCACTTGCTCAGGTTTAATTTCCAGCGATATTCTTACTAATTAATCCCCTGTAGTACTCAGTCTTTCACTTTTCTTTTTTTTTTCTACTACTCCACTTACATGAGATCTACACATCACTCATCACATATTGTGATCATACTAATTACATTTCAGCATTAGCTACAAGTATGCACAGGTTCAATATCGTTAGCTTCATAGCATAAGTGCCTAAGTCATTTTTTTGTGATGACATAGGCAGACGGACAGGATGATGCAGCAGTGGTAGGGGAGTAAAGTTAGGCAAAAATCTCAATTTGACCAAAAAATGACTTAGGCACTTATGCTATGAAGCTAACGATATTCCTCTGATCGCCAGTCTCCTGCAAGAAAAACACCACAGACATGGTTAACCAAAGCTCCTTGTTCAATAGGAGAAGAGTTACACACAACGAACGAGGGGGGGAAACAAAACGACGGCCTCCAGTGTGAATAACTCAAATGTATCCTCTTGTATCAGGCCTCGTCCCTTCAACAGTACCGCAGTAGGGTTGGATCCTCTGCCAATCAATCTCCAACCTCTCCCGTCTCCAATCAAGGCTTCTCACCCGGAGGCTCGCCTCAAGTAAGGGCGTATGGACTGAACGAGCTGCTGGCTCGCTTTGTATAAACATCACCGTCCCTTGCATCGTAGTGCTGTGGTTATCTCTGCTGAGTAGGACTCCGTGCAGCTTTTTCTTGTTGATACAGATCTGGGCAAAAAAAAATAAAATAAAAAGCGAGCCCTTCAGCAAGACCCATAACATCAAAACAAGCATTTCCCCCCCTTAAGTTAATTGTATTGTCATTATTTATGTATTTACATATGATTACTTTCTGTGTTTTATAAGCCAAAAAAGAATAATATCTATTAGTATCTAATAAGTAGATAAAACACAGTGCAGCCTCTATTAGTTGACATTTTAACGAGCAATAGCAGGAAATCCTGGGGTTTCTTTGAGTCTGAGTCTACCGACATGCACAGCGGCATCATTAACCTTATAAATCACTGATGTGTTTTCCATGCATGACATAAGAGGAAGTGAAACCGCGCAGTGAAGGAAATACTCTGGGAGAAAGCTGTCTGTGTGTACTTAAAGTTAATAATATATACATAGAAAATGTGCATTAAAAGGTTCTATTCCTGATCTGAATGATCACATTAAGCGTTGACAAACTGTGAACCCTGAGCAGCTCTTGTTTTGCCCAGATCTGACCACCAGTCTCTTTAAGCAGTCTCTTAGTGTCATTGATGTGTTTTGTGATGTAGCCGTGTCCCTGACCTTCCTCCTCCTCTGCTGCTTTTTGTGGTATTTGCATCGCAACTCCACCGTTTCCCTCCCAGTCTTGCTTATTAGACTGTGAAGTGGAGTTTGTTTTGTTCTTTCCCATGTTTGTCAGATCTCTGTGTTTATTGTGGGTTTGCACCAGCATGGGGGGGAATGGGTGAGCATCAAGGGAGGTATTAATCCCCTTCGAAGGATTTTTCAGGAAAAGCTGTGCAAAACTGAACCTTGCTTGCAATGTAGTGCATTAAGATAAACTGAACACACCCAAGGTAAACATGGATTAGGGCTGTCAGTGATGTGCGTGAGACTTAGTAAAAGCATGTAAGATTTGCAAAAGGTAGTGCTGATAATCTTTTAATCGCTTATTGCTAAGTGTTCTTTCTTAAATACTGTCTTGAATTACACCTTTAAAAGTGCCATCTAGTAAGCCTTTACTGGTCCAAAGATTGAAGTTATAGTTTCTGACTTTTAAACATGCCCTTGTGTGTTTGAGATGTGGAGAGAGAGAGGAACGTGACGAGTGACAGAGTTGATTCATGCTGTGTGTGCATTTCTATATGTTTGCTTTCCCAACTCGGGCCTTTCCAGAGCTGAAGTGGCTCACTCGTAGTCCCGAGGTTATCCACGGGCCAAACCACAACCGACAGTCTGTGTTCTCTTGTTATCCTGCTCTGCCCCGTGGGGAGTTGTGCAGCGCACACAGATAATGTGGTTTAGAACTAGGTGGAGCACAGACTGAGAATATGATCCAATTACTTATACATTAAGAGGCCACAATGAAACGGGAGAATTCCTGCTGCTGATTCGATGAGGACATTCAAATGAGGAATTTCAAGAGAATTAGCTTGCGCTGGATGAGTCGGTGGAGGGGAGAATAAAGCCACAGAGGGGATTACATTTTCAGTGATTCCCTTAATTTTAACGCACATTACATCCTGTTTGGTTTGTCTTAATTAAAACGTGGAAGCCAGAAGGCAGGAGAGGAAGCTCCTTTTTCATGTAAGGCTTTCCTTTTGTTGTCCTTACGTAGACGATTTGGGGCGTTTGGCCGGTTTGCATTTCAGTGTATTATGTATACAGAGAGCTGTAAGATATCGGCAGCTGATATTGAAAGATTTTGCCTCGTGTGATTAATTAAGCCATTTATTTATTTATTTTATCATATAATATATTTATTTACATATCTGCAGATTACTACAACTGTTTTTTTTTTCTTTTATTTTTTGCAGGTTTTAAATTGTTTTTGTGCAATTAAAATGAAAAGGTTTGTGCTGCAGTAATGTCACACAAATGTGCAAAACGTTATGGCAGATGCTCAAAGACTTGTGAAGGCCCCCTCATGAAAGAAAATCGGCTATAAGCATTTTATAGAGGCATATAAAAAAATGCTAATTATTCTAAGCCTTTGTATCTGGTTGTTTAGACCCGAGGTGTCAAACATGCAGCCCACTTTGATCGTTAGTGGGTCAGACCAGTGAAACTACATGATAAATGTGTAAAATTCCAGTAAAACATCTGGTAGTTTATTGCCTAGACGGTGCTGTAATTCCGAGATTTTTTTCTTTTTAAAACACAAAAGATAAAATAAATACGCTGATGGTGCATCATTCACATAAAAACACTTAATGTGTTGGCATATGCAAACTGGGTGGGCATTTGTACATTAAAAACCTCACACATTTCCAGACGTTGTGACATGTTGCAGTGTTCTAGCTGCTTTGACTGTCTCGTTTTGTATATCCCGTGTTTTTTGTTTAATGTATTATGTCTGAAGCCTTGATGCAATACATATATATGCTCATATTGATGGTGCGCACTTGTAATTTTGACCTACATCTATAATAAACCGATCACTGCTTGTTTGTTGTTGCAGCACAACTCCATACTGGGCAGCGTGTTTGCAGACTTCTACGACCAGCAGCTGCCTTCCATTCAAGCCAGTGCGCTCTCACAGCAGGTACAGGCTCTGTCCGTGTCAGATAGAAACCAATCATCTTCGCATGTTTTTCCTGCATTTACCTTTCTCCTACTTCAGGGACTTGTTGCATTATTTCTTTCTTTTGGGATTGCCAGTTGGAGCAGTTCAACATGATGGAGACCCCCATCAGCTCTGACAGCCTGTACAACCAGAACTCCACCCTCAATTACTCCCAGGCTCTTATGATGGGTTTGACTGGCCACTGCAACCCTCAGGACTCGCAGCAGCTTGGATACAGTAGCCATGGCAACATCCCCAACATCATTCTCACAGGTGCTGTTTTGACACTTCACACGGCTTCTCAAGACATGCAGCAAGTGGCCTGTTAAGGCAGAGACCCAGACTTTAAAGTGTAGAACTGGTAGATCCAAGTGTGGAGGAACGCTTGTGATTCACATTTTCTTGTGGGTCTTGTGACAGTAACTGAACAGAAGAAGCTTCACAATGATTTGGTTGATTACTGGATTTGTATAATGGATGGAAGCAACAGCACTTTGTCATTCAGTCGTTGCATGCTGCCGCAACCCGACGTGTTGTTACATTTCTCACGAGTTGCACATCAAGGATAAAAAAGGTGGTTGCAGTTATGACGGAAGTTACGATGTAGATTTCCCACAGAAGTCTAAATCGGGCATAAATCACAGGATAAAAAAAATGAAAGTCCAACTTGATTATTTATGGTCTGAGCAGTATGAAAGTAGCGGGTTACCTGTCATTCAATCACTAGAATGTTAGCTCTGACATTGTTAAATGCTGCAGAGACGTATAACACTTATCTGCATGTAGATTCAAAGATAACCATCCTCTTAAGGTTTGCCTTTATTAGTTTTTAAAAAATTAGCCCTCCTAATAATCAGCTTCACTTAGATATGTAATTATGATGCCAAGCTGTCCCCTTAAGTTGTTATCAAATCATAACCCACACTCCTCTGCATTCTTTTGTTTTCATTGAAGTTGTCTCTAATTTTAGCCTTCCTTCTCTTCCTTAGAAACCTCAGTGAGATGAATAGTATTTTTTTTTTCTTGTTGTCTTTCCACAGTGAGTGGAGAGTCTCCACCCAGCCTGCCCAAGGACCTGTCTGGCTCCCTGCCCACAGATGTCAGCTTTGATGTGGACTCTCAGTTCCCGCTGGACGATCTGAAAATCGACCCGCTGACGCTGGATGGCCTGCACATGCTCAATGACCCGGACATGGTCCTCACCGATCCCGCCACCGAGGATGCATTTCGCCTTGACAGGCTGTAACAAAAGTAGCGGGTGTAACAGGTGTGTGAACTCTGCTACCTAAAGCCGAGGGTCTCTGAGGAGAAGGTATCTAGAATCAGGCTGATCAAAGGCCTCATCTGGGCTGAGCATCAATTCCACACGACCCAACACAATCGACTCCCACAAATGAGCTCTTAAAATGTTTCTAAAGACTGCTGCTAGCTTCCCTTTAATGGTTCTCTCACTACCTTTTGTGATGGATCCTGTTGCGATTTAGATGATATACCCGTTTTTTATTCGAGGAAGCTTAATGAAAATTTGGGGGCATAAACAGCCCGGTCTCTAATTCTCCATCAATGACTGACTAAACTATGTCTGTAGAGCAAACCCGTAATAAATCACACTATAGCGATCGCACGGCTGTTAACATAGAGTAGCTTGATGACTCAGAGGAAACACCTGTTGAGCTTAACCTCCCTCTGTCCCAAGCTGTAATGGAAGCCCCGGTGAGGCGATGAGTCACCCTTTTGCAAGCTCATTTATTTTTAGGGAATGGTGAATTTTGATTTTTATCATAGTCAGTGGCGGTCATCAGTTTATGCATGAAATCACAAATCACTGTGCATACTTGTTTTGCCTTAATAGCGTCTACATTTTGGTTTTCATGCAAAGATGACTCTTATGTAGATGAGGAAGAAAGAGGGAAAAAAACAAAGAAGCATTTTAGGGATGGAGTAATTTTTTACAGGTGGTTTGGCCTACGTAATCCGCCGTTGTGTCGTCACTACCATATCATTTTTCAACTTCATTTATCGCACCTAAACGGATAAATGAGGAATACGAGCTAGATGTTTACAGGCTTTGTTTTATATTTTACATGTACAGAATGTGATTAGAGTTTGCGTAACGGTATCTATGCAAAACTACAGCGATCGATTTGGGACTGTAAAATGAAACACACACATCGAACCCTTATACGCAGGAAGGCAGCGTGCAGGATTCTTAGAGGACGCACGGCGACCGTGCCATGTTACTTTTGAAACTGTTTCCGTTCTTTCAGACTAGTGAGGTGTAGAGATGGTGGGGGGGAAAGGCACACTGAGCGTGGCACACAGGATTACTCCCAAAGATGTGACCTCAGCGTAGTTGAAATATCTATATATATATGTATATTTTTCCAGACAATTGAACTGCCTCTATAATAGAACAGAATTGTTGATACAAAGAGAATGTATTTAGGTCACATCTGTACAACCATGTTGTTGCCATCCTGTCATCCTCATTGCCTCTCATAACTAGCCTTTATGTCCTTAAGGACACATATTGTTTCCCCAAAGCGGATATGACATCCTGCTTTAAGTTTTATGTGTTGCTTTGCTCGTTTCCCTGGCACTACAGCGACTCTATGTATCCGTTTTCTCGTAGCGCTCGTGTTGTCCGTGCCCTTTATCGGTTCGTTCCGTATCGCTCTGGTCGCTCTCGTAGTCGTATGCTTTCGTGCTTTAAAAATCCTCCGTGAAATCAGTGCGTGTTTCAGTAGATGGGTCCTTTGAGTTCATTCAGAAACGTGTCTCATTATTGCACTTTATGCATTTATTTAAAACACTGATTTCTCAGAGTGTATATACCAAACCCCCCGTCCCCACCTACCCTCGTGACTGTTATGTGCACTGGACCTGTCTGTCCTGTCTTTGATAAAACTTGCCTTCTTTTAAAAAAAAAAAAAAAAAAAAAGAAGACGAAGAAAAAAGAAAAGACAAATGAAAAAAGCAAATTGAATTATAGTTATTTTTGAAAACTTCTATAAAAAAATCTATTGAAGAGAGCTGAGTTTTTACTCAGTCGGTGAGTATTTTGTTACACTGTTACACATTTTTCTTTCCTACATTTTTTGCACGCAGGTGTGTCTGTCGTGTCTCTGCAGCTCTGACTGCATCATGTCGGAATAAAGAAAACGAAACAATGCTCGAAGACGTTTGTAATAAATTATTAATTAGCAAAAAAAAAAAAAGAAAAAAAGAAAAACAAACCACGGTTCAAGTTACAAAAATAGTGCATTGGACATTTGCAGTAAGTGTTATTGTAATACTGTGCCAGATGGGATGAGTCAGTCCCTGAAAAGTATTTTGCAGAATTAATATTGCAGTTCAGTGCAGGTAGAATAAAATGTAAAATAGATATAGATTCATTCCCAGGACACTATTCGGCTGTTATGTTCCTGAAACATCGCGTCTGTCGATGTGCGTCGAGGAACCCTGTGCCAGCATATTTATTTTCATGCAACACAAAACTATGATTGAATCTTAAAATTAGATTTTTAAGCTTTTTCCTTTAAAAAACAACAACAAAACTCTAATATTTCAGATGCATCATGTTTGTCAGTGATCCTGCGTTCTAGTTATCACTGTGGGAAAGTGGGGTGGTTGTTTTTCTATTTTAATAATTTTGTGACTGCACGAATCTCCTTAAGTGTTTTCTCTTTATGGCTTGTTTTTTAACAATTTATTTTATTTTATTTTTAAGGGTTAGGTCGGTTTTGTTTGTCTAAGAAAGCGTGTTGTTTTTTCCCCCTTGTTCGCTAAACTCGTCTTTTGTCTCTCTTTGATTCTGCATCGTGTATAGGCTACGTGACTGCTAAGTGAAGCCTAAAAGCATCAGATATGTGGTAATCAGCCTTTCATGCACATGTAGAAGCCGTTGTGTGATACTGTGTTTTATACCGCAATATCCAGTATGCGCTTTTTTTCCCGTGGAACACCCACACAGTTTTGATTATGTCATGGTAAATCTATAGACTAGCTTTGTATATCGCTGTATGGTAGGAACAATGTTTTTCGTGCTTTATGTGATATGATGTCAAAGTAAGAAAATGCACTGAGAAATACTGTGCTGCAATATGTCATTGTGGCTCTATATTCTCTGCTGGACCTCCAGACTTTATAGTGAGCCTGACATCTTTTGTGGGTTCTTTATTTCCGTTTGTTTTTTGTTTTGTGTGTTTTTTTTAAACACTTTTTGTGCTCATGTAGATAAGCGCTGACTGATGCGTCGCCTGTTACTGCCACCTTTTTAAGCAGTAACGTTCAGGTATCGCACCAGTGTTTACAGAGACAAGAGTTTACAGCAGAGCAACGTTTGTTTTCCTCTACCTTAAAATGTTTCAGCTGAGTTAAATACTGTATCTGGAAAAACAGACTACATGCATGTAGAACCACTTGCAGTGTAGATTAGCTAAACAATTTTGTGGTTTAAACAGTGAATCAGTAAGGTTGAACAGTTATTTCAATATTATTATTTATTAATTCAGAGTTATCTGATATTTCGTTTGGACCTCGTCCATATGCATTTCAAGGCCCTTGAAGCACTTTTCATTTACTTGAAAAACTTTTATTCTGCAGGAATTCCACTTCCTGTTACATATTAGACTATTTAGATTCTTTTGGTCTTTACTTCAGAGCAGATTTGTCTACAGCACTGTATCTTTTTTCTCCTTCTTTTTAAAGTAAAATCAACAGTTGAACCAAAGGTAAAAAAAAAAAAAAGATAGCCATAAGTAAGAGAAAAAATTTAAAACTTTTATAAAACATCCTCTTTTTTCCCTCAAATGATCCCATTATGGTTCAAATTATTTCATATTTACCTACAAAGTCATTGTTTAGGTTGGACACAATTACTGATTTCTACAACATGAATTAAAGGGGCACCTGTTATGCATCTCCTTCCAGTTATATTTGCTCTTAGAATGGGAGACACTAATAATAAACATGACCACAGTAATTACTTTATCCAAAGCCTGTCCTAAATGCTTAGTTTTTTTCTGCTCTTGGCTCTGTATGATGTCACTGAGAGTGGATCGTCTTAATATGCTCATCAAAGGCCCCAGTGGGATAGGCCTAGAGATTGTTTGGCAAGTGAAGTCACTATGAAATTGATTTCTAAAACGTGTCTGTGGGTCTTATACTTTATGTCACTCGGTCCACTTGGGTCCCAGTGACGCTACTTTCGTGAAGGCCCTTGCAGACGCCTGCATGCCTGCTTGTTTTTTTTTTGTGACTTGTCCAAAGTGAATTTACAATACAATGCACCAACTACTAGGCCTGAACTCCACCCACCTTTCGTTCAAACCTTCTGTATGTTTAAGGGGAAAAAAGCTAAAACAGCCTGTTGCATAAACAAAAGATGTCCTGAGAAGCTGCACCAGGGCCCTCTATAAGATACGTGGGGGTTATTCTGTACTGTGAATCCTGCACGTCTACTCTAGAAGAGTCAGCAGTTGTTTGTTTTTTTAAATTTGGTGCTGGAAATGAGCATAACAGGTCCCCTTTAAAGAAATGACTGCTATATCCTGTCCACTAGATGAGAAATCTATTTTCTGCATGATGCCGAATTTCAAAGTATCTTGACATATTGTATTTTGCTTTAAACTAACCATTTAGTTTTGCCTTTGTTTTATAAATTTGTGGTGAAATCGTATTTTGTAGTGAAAAAAAAAACCCACTGAGACATAACATGGACACGATGAGAAATAACACGAGTAAGAAAAATCACATACAAATACTGTACAGTCAGACTAATAGTGGCTCTGTGACACAAGCTGTTAAAACACAAACTGAATCAGGAAGATGAAACAGAGTCACGGTCATGTAAGGTCACTCAGTGGGTTGCCCACAGCTATGAATCCTGTGAGTGCATTTTGAGGACGGCCCAGTGCTGGTTCAAGACTCACACAATGGCAGCTAAAACGTTCTACAATGTATTTTAAGTTGAGTGAAACTATTCCACACACTGCAAATGCACTATGTTCCTGTTGCCGTGAAGAGGTGCACTATGTTTCTGTAGTGCACTCGCAGCAACAGGAAACATTATGCTCGTATAATATGCAAATCTAGCATTCTGCAGCAGAGCTTGGCGGGTCTGTACTTTTTCTTTTTGAGCTAACCCTTTAAAAGCAACTGGTCCAAACCTTGTTCTTCAAATTGTGCGTTTTCTATTTTAACTGTTAAAATTGGACCAAAATAATCCAAGTTGGCTGTAAATGTGAGCGACGTTATAGATTTGGGGCGGGGCTTTCCATTTAAAATGTACCTGATGTATTTTTCTTGTGTGAAGGCTTCTGTCTTTGTATCTTTGCATTATTATTTGTAAATGAGATGAAAATAAATATATCTGAATAAGCCAAGACACTTGATTTCTCGTATTGTGTTTTTTTCTCATTAGCTTGACTCCAAAAAGTACTAGAAAACAAAGACGTGCAGCAGTAGTTTCATGGTGTTTGCAGCCCCCATAACTGGCATAACTTAGACTTTCTCACCCACTCCAGGACTTCAGTTGCCCTGCCTCTCCCACTCTTTCCGCACCAACAGTTTTAATGAGTTTCTACTTTTTTTTATGTGGGATGGATACTAAAGCTAAGACTGCTGGTGAGAGGACAGTCTTTTCTATGACTTAAATGTGTTCTGGGCTTTGCGTGGATTGGATTATGCTGTGGTTGTCAAGAAATTAGTTTGAGATTAAATGTTTTAATTCTATTTGGTTACAACAGTTAACCCTAAATGTGTCTCTTCTTATTGTTGATTATCCTTAACTAAAACTAAAACTAGATCTGAAATAAAATGTTCATTAAAAATAAAAACTAAATACGGAGGAAATGCCCTTCCTATTTGTTTATTGGTTAAGCTTTGTTATCCTAACTTGCCTACAGTCTACAAGACTGAGTCAACTGCTGTGTAAAAGTGCATTTTTTTAAATTATAATACTTATACTGATTCTTGTAAATTTTGCCTCTGGGACATGCCCTTCATATAATATTACTTAAAAATATTAAGACCTACTAAAAACATTTTCAAAATGCCCAAATGCTAAAATGCCTTGTTGGCGTCAAAGGTTAGAGGAGAATGCCCAGACCATCTTCAGGATGAAGACCACTCATTGAAGCCAAAGTATGCAGAAGAGCATATCTGAACACACAGCACATCAAACCTTGAAGCAGATGGGCTACAGCAGCAGAAGATCACACCGGGTGCCACCCCAGCTAAGAACAGGAAACAGAGGCTATGATTCACACAGAATCCCCCAAATTCTATAATAGCATATTGGAAAAATGCTGTCTGGTCTAATATGTCTTGAATTTCTGCTGCGGTGACTGACATCACGGATGTGCTGTTGACAAATCTGCAGTGTGTAATGCTAGTATGTCAATATGGATCAAAATCTCAGAAACCTTGATGAACCTGTGCCGTGATGAAATACGACAACTCTGAATGTAAGAAGGGGTCACATTTAAAGTAAAGTCATTCTTGCATCATATCTGATGGCCCCATCAATCTAGCACAGCCCGTCCTGCTTTGCTCCTGTGGACAGGGACAGGCTGTGCTCTTTGACGTATGCTTTGTTGTTTTTAGAGACTGCAGGACTCCATCTACTGGTGAAATGCTGTAATATAGAAGGATCGATTTTAGACATGAGTAACTACTGTACTTCGTTGCGATAAACACACACATATGTTTCTTTTATTCGAATGCCTGACAGAATGTGTGCAGCTTTGGCAACAGAGTGCGTAACTAATGCTCAAAACAAAACAAAGCAAACGTTTGGACACTTTAAAAAATAATACTAAGTGGTTGTGGTTAAATCTGTCTTGGAGAAGTTAACGTGGGGGAGCTTTGGTATTTTTGAGATGTGGCTAGCTGGCTTCTGACAGTGGCGAACAATTTTGAACACAACACGAAACTGTTGGAAAACCATTAGATTTTGCGCTACAAATCACTTTTATAAAAGTATCATTATTTGTTATTTAGGGGTCAAAGGCAGTGCGTAATTCGTTTACATACTACATGATCTGCTGTACAATGTTTACTGTGTAACCACAAGTAGATGGAGTCCTGCGGTGGTGCACATCCCTGAGTGTATCAGGTATGTTTACTTGAGGACGTGCAGACGTCAAAGCGCACACAACGTATCCCGGCATGCAGCAGGAGGCCGTGGAGCGATCCTGCAGCTGGTAGTGAGTTGCGAGAGCGCCGAGGAGGCAGCAGCAAACGGGCAACATAGCTCACACGTTTCCCTACTCCATGTGAGATAAGCCGAGCCGTTACCTTACAGGCGACAGAAAATATGCTGTACGGACGCCTGACGTGTTCCCGAAGCGGCTTTTGAGTCATCATTGTCACCCAGTTTTCATTTTGGAGGATTCCTCCCTCCATCCTCCGGATCGCACCGAACAGGCAATGACAACGGTCTCAGCAACCCCGCAGCAGATGAGGGAACGGCTGCTGCAGGCCATCGACAGTCAGAGCAATGTGAGTGCGCTAAAGCGAGCAGGCTATCTAGCTTAAGTTACCTTGTTTCCCTGCACTCTGGGGCAACTCGACTTGAGAATTCGCCCGACAACTCTTATTTAATTATATTCATGTGCCCAAACTTCTTATTGTATATTTTAAGTTGGAATTAGAGATGGGGGTACTTGAGTTGACAGCTTGAAAGCTAATTTAGCTACCAGCGTTACCCTGGACAGACCATAATCTGGCGTGTAGCATGCTAGCGGCTAACTTAGCCACAGCGGGTTTTGCGTATACGTTAAAAAGAAAAATATTTGCTTAATTTCCTTCCAAATTCATTTTCCATTCTGAATTTATTTTCACCTCGTACTTGTTTTTCACCCTAAACTGTTTCATCTTAATAAAAATCTCGTGTTACTAAGCCATGGACGCGAGCTAGCAAACTCTTAGCTCCAGCGGCTAAAGCTACGTTTTTTGAAACAGTCCACCCTTCCTTCTCAGCTGAAATGCTAGCCGCGGCTAAATCGGCTAGCACAGGCAAATTCACAGACACTTGAGCTCCGCTTGACTTTGTCAACAAGATAAGAAACTCGCGTAAAGTTAATTAATTTGTGCTCTCCGTTTTGGTCTATATGCTACCCTATTGTTATAATGATTACAAAGGAGAAGGTTTTGTGAGTTGACACTTCCATCTTTACTTTGCAACGTCGTTTTGTTGCTCTTGAAGCAGACAGACAAGCTAATGCCCCCCTCCCTCCCCTTGCTAACTTCTAAGCTAACTTGCCCCTCAAACACGTTGCAGGCACGATTCAATTCCCTTGAATTTGTCTAATTTCTGGGGAGTTTCCACGATCAGCATTAGATCACTAAATTGTCACCAGCATTGGCCTTTCTAGAATATTATAAATGTGATTGTAATTCTCATTAACAGCTTCTTTTGTTGTTACTTAAGTAAGCAGTAATTTTTGGGTAATATACACTTTGTGTGACCGTGATGTTTTAGAAGCTCTATATATCGTCCTTGCAGATATGCAATATGGTGGTCGTACTGGAAGTAATTGCCTGCCTTGAAAAGTATCCTATCACCAAAGAAGCACTTGAGGTAAGACAGTCGACTGAACTTAGCTGCTGCTTTATACCAAACTGTTTAACTGAATAGTGTTTCTAATCCTAGTGCTTGTTTTTTAACGTAGGAAACTCGACTAGGAAAGTTGATCAATGATGTGAGGAAGAAGACGAAGGATGAAGACCTGGCTAAACGAGCTAAGAAACTCTTGAGGAACTGGCAAAAGCTGATTGAACCTGGGCCAGCTGTGGCTGCAAGTGTTCCTGGCTCTACCAATGGCAGTTCTCATCCCTGCAGAACCGATGCCTCTCCTTCTGACATTTCTGTGCCAGGGAAAGGTGTCCCTGAGGTCAAAATCAGGAATGACGTTCACAACACGTACTCACCAAAAGCTGAGAAATCAAGCAGCCGCAAGCGGCGGGCAGAGCACAGAGACAGTGGAGTGTACTTGCAAGAAAAAATCTCCAAAATGTCCCCATATGATAACTCTGTTTCAACGCCACCCACCAATGGGATTGCAGGCAGTCCGGATGCTCTCCCTGACCAGGAGGTTGTCCCGTCTCCTGACAGATCTCGAGTTGAGCACCTTGATAATGATAAAATGAACAGAATTCCTGTTAATGCTGTCAAGCCTCGCCCCAGCTCTCCCGGGGTGGCCAAACTACCCAGCACTTCCTCTTTGATTAAAGTTGCTGTGATGCAGCAACAGGCCAGATTGGATGAAGGAGGCGGGGGCTATTATCAAGCCAGAAGTCCTCGTGGTCTCACTACCAGCCCAAGGAGTACGAAGCAAGATACAATGACCAAGCGCTCTTCAGCATATGCACCAAAAGGAACGCCGGTCCCAAGCCCTTCCTCCAGGGACTCTCCCTTATCTTTTTCCCACACTGTGTCGTCCCCGGCCTCATCTTATGCTGACAAGCTGCCACATTCTTCTAATAGGTCTTCAATGCACTGGGCCAGCAGTTCAGAAGCCTCCTCTCTTTGCCCATCACAAGACATATCTGCAACACTGGAATCCCCATCAGTCTCCCTCTCACCTTCTCTCTCCCAGCAGAACTCAGAACCACACAGACAGATTTCTGAGGGAGCTATGGTTGTGTCTGATGACGCAGATGGGCCAACCGTACCAAATTCGGAACATAAAAGGAGGAAGTACAGGTCTAGAGATTACTCTGTCAACTTAGATGGCCAGAAAATGGAGGACACCACTAAACCCGTTCGGTTAAAAGAACGCAGATTAACGTTTGACCCGGTCACAGGTCAGATTAAACCTCTGGTGCATAAAGAACCTTCTCAAACAGATGAAGCACCCACTCCTGACCTCGCTGAGTCTAGGCAGAGAACTGAAAGCACTGTACAACAGTGCGCTGCCACTGCCACAGTCCCAGGTCCTAGCCCTAACCCCTTCCACCACACAAACTGGAAGGAGCTGTCTAGAAATGAAATCATCCAGTCCTACTTGAACCTTCAGAGCAATGTCCTTAACTCCTCGGGGGTTCAGGCCCCTAGTGCACACTTTTTCATGTCGGAATATCTGAAAAGGGAAGAACAGGAAATTAAGGAGTCGCGGAAGATGCACGTTCTCCAAACGGACAATTTGACAGGGGATTTACCGGGCGTGAGCCGGGACGTGACAGATGAGGACTTGGACAGGATACACACACAGCACTGGCAGGGGGTGAATGGCGTTTGTGACACCAAGGGCACCTGGTACGATTGGACAGATTGCATATCACTGGACCCTCACGGGGATGAAAGCAAATTGAACATCCTGCCATACGTTTGCCTAGACTGAAGGGGTACGGGAAGGTTGCAGTACTTTTCCACTCCTTTCCTCATCTCACCACAGAGACGAGATACTTTGTGATTTAATTTTTTTTTTATTTTTTTTTTTGTTCACTGTGAGTTTGGCAAAAATCAGGCCTGCCAAACTCCACTCCCCCACGCCTCTTCCTCTTTCTGTGATAATCTATTAAGATTTTGGTATAAAAGAAGTGTAAAGATTAAAAGACTAGTTAAGTTTGTAATATCAAGGGCTGTTTCTGTTTTATTTTTCAAACTGAAAGCCACAGGAATGAGGCCCGTATTGCAGAGTACTGCTGCTAACCATAAAGGCAAAAAAAGAAGACAGAATTATCCCAGATCACCCAAATAGGTGTAACAATGTGAGGTTTTTCTTTTTTTGAATATTATGAATTGTACCCCTCTTTGAGGCACACTGGGATGATGCTGTTTCTTTTTTTTAAACCTGTTTAGTTTCTAAAAAGAAGTTTTGAACTAGGGTTAAACCTGAGGGAAGGCTGGGGTTTAGCTGTCCTGCACAGACCACCATGTTGGTGCCCAGAAAGATGTTAATAAGAGTTCATCTAGCACAGTTAGAGCCGAACATGTCCAGGGTTTGAAGTTACTGGAACATATTTGGCAGTTACAAGAAGCTTTATGTGAGATATAAAAGAGTAAATTATAAACTTCTTATCATATATACATCTATTTATTTTTGACCAGTTCATTTACGGGATGTTCATCAAAACAAATGTTAAAAAAAGGACGATAACAACAACTATAGATTCTTTTTGTTTTCTCTTCTGTTTGCATCACTGTGCTCTCAGCTGAATCTTAAATGTTAAAGGAAGCCCATGTGCTGTCCTTTCTTTAAGATTGGCCGGTGCGGATTTGTTTTGTTGTTTTGGTTATTTACATTCCAGACTCCACCCTCCAACCAATTTCCGCTCTCTCTGTCTCATCAGCTCGGCTCCTAAAAGGTTCCAGGTCATGAAGATTCTTCTGGAGATGTAACCGTTTTAAAGTAGTGTGGTGCTAATGCAAAAAGGAAAAAAAATAGTGCAGTCAAATGTTTCCATCCATTAATTCTCTCCGAAATATTAAAGAATGTCCCAGCTGCTGGTGTTGTTCAATGACAAAAGCAAGGACATGTTTGAATGCTGGAACTTTTTCTGTTTCTTTAGATATCGTTTGCCTTCTGAAATTCCTTGCTAATATATATTTTTTTTCTGAGTTTATACCGCCTTAGTGAATGTACAGAATTGAGACCTCTTATGCACTTGTACATAAGTTGACGACTTGTTGGTCATTTTCTTTACTGATTCATTCATTCGAGTGTGAACTGACTGATTCTCCCACAATGTGCCCATGGATTAATACGAATTTCAGACACATTTACGGCTCTCGAAGCTGCTTTTTCCAGGCTTTAGAAATCATTTAAGTTGCAGAATGAGGGTGGCACTTCTTTTGCTCCCGTTCAAAACAGTGATTCAAACATTTAAGAGAGAAACACAGAGCGAGCTGTGCGCATCCGATGTTCTTGGCGTTTTCCATGTGACAGTACTTCAGTTCGACTCCCTTTTTAGTCGCTACCACCATTCTCACATGATTTAAATGAAGATTGGCTTCTGTGCAGCCTCTCTGTCCATTCATTCTTTTTGGTCATCCATTCCTACCTACCAATGTGCCTTGGTTTAAAAACAAAACGGTGAATCTGGATTTGCTTCCGCCTAAAACACGCCTGCCTGGAGCTGGATTTGTACGTAAGAATCCCAAATCCCCACGATCAATCTGACGCTGGTATATGCACCGTTTTCTGTTACTTTTTCTACGCGCTGATCTAGTGAGGGGGTGAAGCTGCAGACAACGAGAAACTGCACGTCGTCATCAACAACACCACTGGCAATAATGGAAAAGTGCTACAACTGGTTGAAAAGAATCTGTTTTTTTTCTGGAGTTTTGACGGGGCATCTTTATTTGTTCAGTGTTTAACATCTCTCAGTTGTTTGAAAAATAAAAAGATCTAAATCTTGGCTGCCGTCAGGTCTTTTATGGTTTAAGTAGTTAATCTAAACTGTGCCTTTTGTTTGAAGGTGGACTTTTAATTGGTGCATTTACACATGTCGTCCATGTGGGGGTGCACATTGTCCATGTGTGTTCTTTGTCTGCACCAGAGATGTAAAATGATGAGAGTAATATCGGTTCAAATTCATCAATAATTCTTATGATTTTACTGGGCCCATGCTACAAAAGGTCCTCTGTTATTAAACAGCACATTTTACTAGTCTAAAAGTATAATCCCACCCTTTTAAACTGGCCATATGTGTAGTAAAGCAACAGTTTTTCGGCATCTACTGGTTGTAATTCTGATTGCCTTTGGGTTGCAACATGTTCAATAGGCTAAAGAATGTTTTGCCTACGTCACTCCTCCTATGACTCAGTCAGTTGATGTAATCACATAAGACAGCAGGATGAGTAAGTGCCCTCTGGTGCGTTTACTCTCGCACTGAATCAGCCTGCCGCACACCTGTATGACGGTATCATCTGTTACATGTACAAAGAAATCCAGCTGTATTTATGACCAGGAGGATGCTCAGACACTGAGGAGATACACCTGGGCTTAGATCACTGATATTTTATGGGGCTTTCTTCTGCTCAGGTTAAAACAGGATAGTTTCAGCTTGGATTTGAGAACAATTTTGCATTAAATGTTGTAGAGTTATAGCCACTTTTAAACCCTCTCCCCAAATTTCTCAGCTTCAAAATTAATTGGTCAAATAAATGATTTTAAATATCAGGATAGTTTTTAATATGTGGGTGAAACTAGTTTGCAGGGGATGACTGTCTGAAGTCTAGAAGCCCTGGATATCACCAAATCTTATGTTTCCTCCCCAGAGATGTTCATTACTGCCTTTAATCCAACCACCTTCAGTTGTAGCTTGTTTGTGGGTCTCTGCATTCAGTTTTGTGCTACCTGAAAGCACGCACTGTTGAACATTGAAGACTATCCTATTTCCTCGGCTTATCTGTTTGCACTGTAAAGTGCTGCCTAAACAGTTTTGCAACTGAGACTGTAGCCCTGTACATTTCACCCTGCTACTGCTATCAACAGTCAAATCATCAGTACACACTAGTAACCCACTTCCTTTGGCACACATATTTGCCCGTGCGCTAACCCTGCCTCCACCGTGTTTAACACATGGTGTACTTTGGATCATGGGCTGTTCTTTCTTTCTCCAAACTCCATCCATAATAAAAGGTGAATCCAAACAACGGTGAAGGCTTTTTTTTGGGCAAAGTCCTTCCTGTTCTTGAGTGTAACCAGGCGTTTGCACCCTGTGCATTCACATTACTTGGACAATGACACACCTACTTCCTCGAGAGTGTTTTCACGTGTCTAAATGTTGTAGTGGGGTTTTTTTTAACCATGGAAATAATTATCTTATCATGCACTTTAGATGTCTCCTGGGGTCTTTCTGACAATGAATTCCTTCTTTTTAAGGACTCTGTTTATTTGGCCACTCCTAAGGTCTCTGCTATCTCTGACTGGTTTGTTGGGTTTTTCAGGCGTGCAAAATGAAAGATCAACACTTGAAATCAACTCCAGATCTTTTATCTGTTCAATTTGCTGTGAAATGACGAGAAAAAAAAGGCCTGGCCTGAAAGTTTTCAGTCAAACGTCCAATTACGTTTGAGCCTCTGAAAATGGGAACTATATAAAATATAATGGACTGGAAGAAACGTGTCTCATCAAACATCTAAATAAATGATCCAAGTGACCAACTGAGGATTGGATGGTTCTCACTTGGATTCGAATGTTAAAAAAATTCCAAAGTATTTAATCTGTCATTGTAGTTCACAGGCTACATACGACACAATTTCAATGAAAACCTTTATGACTTTATAACTTATAGATCTTCATCTTCGATCGAATATGCGTTCTAAAAATGAATCAAACATCTGTTTACAGCACAAATTATTAGGAGGCACATCTTAAAAATATTTGTACTTTCAACAATATCTCTGTTTTTTCCACATTCAGTCTACTGTCATTGCAAGCACGTTAATATTTATGGATCCTAGTGGAAAGGAGTTTTTAGGAATGAAACTTTCTTTTATAATCCACCAGCAGTGGTGCATATTATTGAAATATTTCAGGTATTAATTATTTAACTGCAGTTTTTACAAGAGTAAAGCTTTGGTGGATTAATTTGGGTCCCTGGGTCGCATATTCATACTCATAAATCAATGCTCTCTTCCACAGTGTGTCATTTGTCCTGTCTCCCTGTCCTCACCGTTGCAGCAGTTGGCTGCCCCTCTCTGAGTCTTGTTCTGCTGGAGCTTTCTTCCTGTTAAAAGGGAGTTTTTCCTTCCCACTTGCTGAAAGGAAGTAGTTTGATACTGGATGGATAGTCGGGAAAGATGGAGAATAGCGTCAGTGGGATTGTCCCCAGTCAGTGGGACAGATTTCAAAACTTAAAAAAAAAAAAAAACAACAGTCAAAAACCCCCATACTTTTACAATATTTATTACAGTATATGTTGGACAAACTTTTCAAGGGGATGTCAAAGACATCAGCTGAAGAAGAAAGAAAGATGTATCCGATGAGTGTCTCATGGATTCATACTAATCTGATGTACCACTGTCATAAAGCAGCCTATTGTACAGTAAAATACGTTTTCTCTCTTACATGAGCTTCTCTTAAAGCTCATCTATTTCCCAGAAAGACTCAGAGGAGTTTCTGTTCTGCTCTGTGGGTATTTTTGTCGAAATAAGATAAAGAAAGAACTCCCTGACCTGTCCAGCTCACTGCCAGCTTAAATCATATTATGCGCCACTAATACATTGTCTCAGATACGTCTTACATAGCATCCTGGACTTTCACACATGCTGACATGCCAGGAGAAGTTTTGTTATCTGAAAACCTCACACCACCGACATTACGTCAGCCCAGTAGCTCATTCCCAAATAACTTTTTTCTCCCCCCTGACCGTGACTCAAAAAAGTGCGACAATTTGTCTCGTCCTCTCTCCACGTCTGGTATGCAGGGTGGGACCAGAGGTTCACTCCCACTATTCAGGAATTTGGGAAGTTTCCTTCCATATAAGGAGTTTTTGATATAAATCGCGACCTAAGGAAGAGCAGTGGAAAGGTGGAGCTTAGGATCGATTAACGAAGCGTGAAACGAAGAGTATACAGGACTATCAAGAGAAGTCCCCTCTCTCGCTTTGTTGCTTAAATATTTTTTTTACTGAGTAGTGCAGTAGTGCGTTTTGAATGGAGGCCTAAAATACATTTAGTATGTAATTTTCTTAATTATTTATATATGTGCTCTTTATCTAATGGGTCGTTTTTACATATCAGTTGAAAGCTTTCATGCAGTTGGCACTGTCACGTCATAGCAAGATGATCCTTCGTTCAAATACAGTCTGAGGCCTTTTTGTGTGGAGCTTCCTTTTCTTTGTGGGTTTTCTTTGGGTAGTCTAGCTTCAACCCATGCCACATATCAGTGTCCTGTTCCGGTTGTATCCTGCCTCTCACCCCACGACAGTCATGACAGACTTCAGTCCCCACGACCTTCAACTGGATGAGTGTAACAAAATCGATAGATGTTTCTGTTATAAGGATTGTTTATCTTAAGAGCATTACAAGAAACTTAAAAAAATACAAATTTATAATAAATACAATAATTATAACAGCCACATAACAGTTTCTAAGTGTAGGATACATGCTTATAAAATGTCTATTTACATAGAAAAAAAATTCTGATATGCATACAAGGTGACCAAGATTAAAAAAAAAAAAAAAGACTGCACTGGTTTCAGGGGAAAAAAGAAGAAGAAGGTGTTTTTCGGGTATGAGATACAGTAAAATAAATAAAAAGTGAACTGAAACAATGCTGTAAACTCGCAAAACTAAAGTTTAAAAAAAAAGTATACAGGAAATATCTTCAGTTTCAATCTTTGTCAGCCTGGCCAAATTTGTTGGCATAACCAGCTTGAAGAGTATTTGGTGCATATGTTTACTGAGATTTGGACATGTACCTGACTTTGAGTAAAGGGTTTTATTATTATATTTATTCCAAATATCACATGTGAAAACAGCAGCCATGATAGAAACTAAAACTAACAGCACAGCTAATGAAAAATGAAACTGAAACCTGATCGTGTTTAGAGAATCTGAGCTAGACTAAAATATGTAAAGCCACTTTGCAAGATAAGAACAACGAAATGAAACTGGAAATCCAAAGTTAACCCCCCATATTTAATGTATTTAGTTACCTGGTTCATGCTTTCAGTGAATTATATTCTCCAGTGCAAATACACACAAAATGCTAAAATCCTAAAAGTCTTTCTGCAAGCTCAAGCAATTTAACGCCGGCTAACCCAGACAGATGCAGATACAAACAACAAAACACATAAAATAAAAACAAGATAAACAAAAAATACGACTGTGTTACGTAACCAAGAGCACATGAAACTGATCTCCTTCTTCACCTGTATGAAATTGTGCTAAATATTCAATAATCACTCTTTTCAGCTAGTTTGCAATTAAAAAAACAAAACAAACAAAAAACACCTAGAAACTTCGGAGGGTCATTTCCGGGACGGACCGTTCAGGGGTGAACTATCTTGATTCGTGAATCAAGACTCTTTGACAGAAACCGTGGGAGCGCTCTAATTGGCGCCCGTAAAAGAGAAAGGAAGTATTTAGTTCAGTCCGAGGTTTCATTGGAAGACAAACTCGAAGATATTTTAGCGCAGTTTTTATCTTCAAGTCGGAGTCTCTTTCTTTTATTATTGTTTGCCACTCTCAAAGGAGAAATCTCAACACTTTGAAAATGTCTTCCTTTAACAAAGGTCCGGCTTATGGGTTATCCGCAGAAGTGAAAAACAAGGTAGGTGGCCATACTTTTCTCTCCCATATAAAGTTAAGTCGCATTGAACTTTTCTCGCCTTCTTCATTGCGCTTCTCTCTTAACGCGAGAATCACCTGGCCTCCATTTTAATATGGCGCTCAGGTTAAAAGGTAATCAGCGGGGGTAAAAAGGGAGTTTGAATAAAAAGATTTAAAACTATATTTTATACATATATAAGTCGGAAAATCAATAATTAAACTCTGGTCGAGTGTGAATAGTTTGCAAAGAAATAAGTTGTGGTCTAGTTAGACACCTTGGACCTCCTTAGTCCCTCTGCTCGTGCAGGAGACTTAACTTAAAATCGCACCATGGGCGTTGTCCGTCTTGGCAAACAAGCATGTCGTTGTGGCAAAAAAAAAAAAAGTTACCCCCGTTTCCAGCATTTTCCGCCGCCCGTGCAGCTCTCTGCCCTGCGTTGTGACTCGCATTAGTAGATAATGTAATTGACCTGTTAGCCCTCGGATTGGATGCCACTGTTCTCATTGCTTCTGTGTTCTCGTGGTTTCTGCAAGAATAGTTTCCCCACTTCCCCTCATGCGGTAAGGTGTAGCGCTGCTCTTCGTGCTTTAACTTTGCTCTCCACACCGTGCCAGATCAGTGCAGGGACAAAGCCTCTCTCCTCCTCAGCCACTCACTCTGTGAAAAATCAAGGTGACACCCCCTCCGCAAGTTCTGGGTAATGTGTAACTTTATTGATTGGGACCTTCGTGAGGAAAGCAGCTTGTTTATTTGGTCACAGCCGCATCGAGTTAAAACCTCAGAGGTGACAAGCCCGATCACGTTGGCACATCACTTTTCGCCAACTTTCCTCCCCCCTCCCCCCACTTTTTTTTTAAAGTACTTTAAATGTGACTTACTGTCCATTTCGTTGTTATTGGCAGCAGACTGCTTTTTTTTTCTCACACAAGTGTTACAGCTGATCTGTCCTTAGCCTTCTGTTCATTCTCTTGACACCCGCATATAAGGGCACTTTAACTTACCTCCACCTCATCCCCCTCCCCTTCTGCATTCTTTGGATGTTCCCTTGTGTGGGGGCGAGGGAGAAAGAGAGGGTCGTATCCCCTCCCCAGATCTCCACAGAACATGTGGCTGACGTAAAGAAAGCACGCAGATTTCCTATGTCCATTACCACAGGCGTCCTTGAAGGAGGAGAGAGAGGGGGGGGGGGGTCTACTAAAGAGAGTGGTATTTCCTGCCGTCAGTGACGTAGCTCACCCTTAAAATATGAGGCATTGAAGGCTTTTAAATTCCACCTCCCCCCCCCCCCCCCCCTTACAAACTGATAAACACAGACAGTCTTTGCTTGTAAGAGTAATCCCCAAACTCACTGATACACTGCAATAACTGTTTGATTTATTTATTCATCTCAGTGCACATCCATTCATCGGCTCGGCACACAGACACAATCCGGCGCCCTTCTCGCTTCATTCAGCTCCCTTTATCCCAGCACTGCGGGCTGAATTCCTCGCGTTCAGCTTGTCGCTGGAAATTACATCTGTGTCGGATTCCTTGCGGGCAATTAAAACGGCCAGTGTTGTCTTTTAATATGCGGATAACTGGATGAAAGGAATTTAATTAGAAGACAGGCATTCCTGAAGAGCGCAGCCAGCTGTGAGCTGTGTGCGGCCTGCTTCTATGTAAATAGTAGGTTACTTTTGCGGTTTAGTTTCCCATTGCCTTCGGGGACAAGGAAAAATTGTTGGCTGGTTGTGAGTTTGCACGCAGAACTTTTTTTTTTTTTTTCCTTCTTCTTCTTCTCTTTCACTGGAGGAGGAGAAAAGCTGACCTGTTTAACTCTTAGGTCACTTTTCTCCATTTGTCCGCCTTTCAGATTCAGCTCATGAAACTGCTGTTTGTTTACGTGACCCCGATTCTCCTCCTGAATGGCCTCTTTCTCATGCTCTGCATCCGTCGGTAAAGCTTTTAAATCAGAGTAACGCCTCAACCGTGACGCCGTCAGCAGACCACGTTAAGCCCCTTAAAAACTGACGTGCCCTGTTCTTTCTACAGCAGCTCCCTTCCTGTGCCTCCGGTGACTTTGTTACAGTTTACCAAACAGGATATCCGTGTGTGTTTCTGTGGGGGTGTGTGTATGTGTGTGTCGGGTCACGGTGGAGTCACCATTTATGAGAATGAAATCTGACCAACTCTGTAGGAGTTGGTCAAAGTGAAAATGTGGGGATGACCATGAAGCCTGGCCTCATGCAGTCACAATAAACCTTTTAAAACGAACAACAACTAAAACTGAAATCTTCGTGGTGTGTGTTTTGGTTATCATCACCTCGGTCCTTGGTGTTTGCGCGGCTCCGTTATCAGCAGCTGGAGAAAAATAGAATTCTTATATCTTAAGAGTGTTGAAGTGGGAGGTCATTGAGGACAGGGCGAGCTATTCCACTGCTGACAAAAGAAGCTGGTGTGACTGCATCTACTGTTCTTCAAAAGAGCCACCCACTTGGTTGCAGAACACACATGTGACCTCTGACCTTTGTTACCAACTAGATTGCACAGAAGTACGACCCTCAGAAGGAAGAGGAGCTCAGGATCTGGATCGAAGACATCACCGGCAGTTCCATCGGCCCCGACTTCCAGAAAGGCCTGAAAAACGGAGTCCTCCTGTGCGAGTAAGCAGAGCCTACATCAAAGTTCTGTCACGCTAAACCACCAGGGCCTCGATCATCTGTTTTTAATATGCACACAGATCTGGAAAGCTCACTTTCTTTCTTTCTTTCTTCCCCGTTCTTTCTCTACTTTGCAGACTTATTAACAGGCTGCAGCCAGGCTCTGTGAGAAAGATCAACCAGTCAGCACTGAACTGGCACCAGGTGAGTTTGTCTTATTTTAGCTAATTGAGGGCGCGGCAGACTTGTGAGCAGGAGCACTTCATTGACGCTAGAAGTGCAGCAAGCAGTTAGACTTGCCTCTTCCCTGCATTGTGCTGAGGATGTCAGTGCACTGAATCACACTCATGGCTATACTTGGACATTAGCAGTGTTGCTTCTGCTTTTATCTGAAACTGGTTTCTTAATAGTTAGTGCTTATAAAAATATTTGACTGCAACTTGTTAATGAGAGGATACAGGCAGAGAAATAATCGCCCGGCTTCAGCTTAAAACCTGTCGCTCTTGTTTACTTTGGTGCGGCTTTAGCTGGAGAACCTGACAAACTTCATCAAAGCTCTCACAGTGTACGGCTTGAAGCCCCATGATATCTTCGAGGCCAATGATCTGTTTGAGAATGGCAACATGACGCAGGTCCAGACGACTCTGCTCGCCCTCGCCAGCATGGTGAGTCTCTTAAAAACGTCGCATCACAAACGGTAGTGGTAGTTTTTTGTGGGGAATGATCGCAGTTTAATGAGAACTCTTCTACACCGCCTTTTCTCTCAGGCCAAGACCAAGGGCTGCCAGTCGCGGGTTGACATTGGCGTGAAGTATGCGGACAAGCAGCAGAGGATGTTTGACGATGAGAAGATGAAGGCTGGACAGTGTGTCATTGGCCTACAGGTACAGTTTTCAGTGTCAGTAATATAACAGGACTGATGCTCGCAGAGTGAAACTCGGGGCCAGGGCTTTAAAGGAAATGCAAACAAGGGACTAAACTTGATTCTTTTCTTATATAAAGATCAAAAAATTAGAAATAAGAATTAATTTTTTTAAATGATCTGATCATTCTGGCTGCGTTTTGACAGGTGGGCTACGTGCTCGCAAAGCTGAACTCACTGCTGCAAGTGGCGAAACTGTTGTGAAAGAAGGCTTTGTCATGATGATCTCATGTTGAGTAGCGTTCTTCTGTGCGAGAGCTGCACATTGTCACTGATGCTTCAAACCTCCCTGCTTTCTTTTCTTTCCTTCCCCCTCCATTACCTGGAAGGGTATCAAGTAAACACAACCAATGAAGAAATACCTCGACTGTAATTTGAGAGCGGTGCAAATATGAGGAACAGCTTAGTCAAAACTTTTTAAAACACGTTTGGTTAGTGTTGCACCAGTATCAACAGTCCCACACTTGCTCAAAACAATAAAATGTGAGAAATGCAGTGATGTTGTGCAACAGTTTACACCAAAACTCTTTATTGATCTTGTATGACTGTTGATCATTTATATACAACAAGTGATTGTTCTATTTTTCAGATGGGGACCAATAAGTGTGCCAGTCAGGCAGGTATGAGTGCATATGGCACCAGGAGACATTTATATGATCCCAAGGCTCCAGTCCAGGCCCCCATGGACAACACCACCATCAGTCTGCAGATGGGAACAAACAAAGGGGCGAGTCAGGTATGCATTCTTAAAGGACTGCAGCAGAAATAAGCTTCGGGACACTGGTTATGGCTTGTCCTTGGCGTTCTTTGCCTGCTGTAAACTACGGTCATGTTTGGTCTTGTAGAAAGCTGTAAACTCCTGTATTATCTAAAAGGCAAAGCTCAGTCTCTGTCTGAGCAAAGTCTTTTGTTATATTTTTGCCATAACAAATTACAACACAGACTAAGGAAACAATCTGAACACATCAGCAGAATACTAGATTAAGGATGGCTTGACATCAACGTATATTCTCAGTTTATAAAAATGGTCATTTTGTTACAGTGAGTACATTAATGACATTATGGCTCTGTGTTTGTTGAAACCATGGCAGCTGCTGTTAGTGGAAATAAATGGTTGCCGGGTAGCATTTGATTTTCCCCAACAGATCCTCTGTGTTGCTGATCTTTTCTAGATGAATGACATGTATTCTTTAACCCAGTGGCCAAATGTCTGGGGCCAGTCTCGTGTTTGCCAAGCAGGAGGAGAGGAAGGGGGGGGATGCTGGGGAGAATTCCACAAAATCTGACAGTTTTCCTTTTCCTGTCTCCACTTCAGGCTGGGATGACGGCTCCAGGAACGAGGCGTGCCATTTACGACCAGAAGCTGGGCACAGAGAAGTGTGACAACAGCACCATGTCTCTACAGATGGGATACAGAGACGGGGCTAACCAGAGCGGGCAGAACTTTGGCTTGGGACGGCAGATCTACGATGCCAAGTACTGTCCCAAAGCCACTGAGATTCCAGGTGATGAAAATGGAGCTGGTGTCGCCCGTGACTACATCCCAGATTACCAAGACGAGGGCTACCAAGGCTACCAGGAAGAGGAGCAGGTGTACCAAGATGATGGAACAGATTATTAAAAGATTGGAGGGAGCTGAGGAAGGAAAAGCGTGATTGTGTAAGGCTGGCAAGTTCTGCGAGACAGAAAGGTGGTTTATCTTTTATATCATTAGGATGTTGCACTTTTTTTTTTTTTTCTTACTTTCTTTTGTAGGCCGTATCCTCTTAGTATTGTACGAAAATGTCTTCTTACCCCTGTTTGTACAAAACCATCTACACATATCATCATGAGCTGTATTTCTGTAATTTCTTTATATATTTGAAGTGACCACAAAAGCCAATCACTTGGCTTGGCTAGATATCCCAGGGATTTCTGTCCATGTGCCAAAGTTTTGTTTTGGTTTATTTTTTGTGTTGGTGTTTTTTGTTTGTTTTTTTTTTGTTTTTGTTTTGTTTTTTGTTTTTGTCCTCCTGTGGCTTTGCTAACACATTAGTTTCATTGAGGGATCCCAAGACTTTCTTTAAGGGCAACATAAACTAAAAGTGAAACCTTAGGGATTTTTTTTTCTTTCTTTCTTTCTTCTTCTTTTTTTTTTTTTTTTTTTTGTGCGTTAACAATAAATGGTTATGAGAAAATGCATCTTTCCATGAAATCACCAGTGCTTATGTTCCTGTAATAGCTGTATCATCTGTGTTTTAAAAGGAAAAAAAAATCCTGTGAATGAGAATGTAAACTTATTTCGTGTTAGTTGTTACTTCAGTATCTTCTTCATCCTTTCAGTATTGACACGCGGTAATCGTCAGTTTTGGTTATTCTGGCAGATGAGGGAACAAAATGGATTTGTTAGAACAAACCAGTCTTCTTTAAATTCTGCTATTTCTCTCACTTCTTTATTTCACTCTTTTTAACAGAGGAAATATTTCCTTTGTTTGCATAACCAATCTGACTGGAGAGAGGCTTGTTTTCTTTGGACAGTGGAGGAGTGGATAAAATGATACTCAAGTGAAGTTTTGAACATTCCAATCAAGAATACTGGATTCTTCTTTGTTTTTCAGTGAACAATGTTTCAGTGGCTCATTAGATATTGGTTGATATGCAAACCAATCATATATTTGATCATGTAAGATTATTATTTATACATGTTTGATTTTTTTTTTTTTTTTTTGAATGGAGGCTGTTTTGTACCTTGACATTGAATAAAATTTGGTATTGGACTATGCTGCTTTTTTGTTTTGTTTTTGTGTGTGTTTGAATTAAGACAGACTCGACGGCCGCTCTATGTATAATGGCTCATTTATCCAAATATCTAATCGGCCAATCGCATGGTAGCAACTTTCAATGTGGTATGGTTGGTGGTGCCAGACAGGCTGATCGGAGTATTTTAGAAACTGCTGATCTGCAGGGATTTTCCCACACAACCATCTCTGGGTCTGAAAGAGAAAATAACCAGTGTGCAGCACTTTTTCTTTGCAAGGTTATTGTTAAATAAAACTTGATGTGAAAATGAAATTTAAATGGATATGTTATTTTGTGAACGTGGAAAACAAATACAGAAGAAACATCCTTAGTATTAATTAATTTTATTACAACTTACCTGATCTTTATTTAGACTTTGGATATTTACACGACTGAGTCATCTGTCTTTATTAAAACACCTACACTGATTCTTCAAAATCTTGCCTCTGGCATATGCCCTTCATACAATAACAATTCAAAAGATTAAAACACTGAAACTGATAAATGTAAAACAATACACTCTGAAAAATAAACCTGAAATTAAAAAAAATAAAAAAATAAAAAAATCCAACACCACAAACTGGTCCTCTGGGCCTTGGTGATGTCAGAGTTCAAAGAATGCTTTGAATAAGAAGGAAACAGTGACTCAAATTAACCACTCATTAACCAAAGTATGCAGAAGAGCATTTCTTAATGCAGAACCTGTCAAAGCTTGAAGCAGATGGGCTACAGGAGCAAAAGACAGCACAGGGCGACACCACAGTGTACATGAATATTGTAGCCGACCATGCCCATCCCTTTTAAAATTCTAACAGCTGCTTTCAGCAGGATAATGGACCATGTCATAAAGCATAAATCACCTCAAACTGGTTTTGTGAACATGACAATGAGTTTTCTGTACTCAGATGACCTCCACAGTAACCAGATCTCAATCTGGCATCATGTCAATAAGGGCTAAAATGTCCATATTGGTGTAGCATATGAATGGTCCAGTGAGTGCGTGCTGGTGTCAGTTCAGTCAAATGAAACGTATTTAAATGCTGTTTGAATTTGGCTTTACAAATTTACTATCTACAAAAGCATAACTGATTTTATATTGACCTTGTAGGTGTGTGTGTCTGTGTGCATGTGTCATGGAAAACTGTGAGACACCTACTGTCATATTAACAGCTGTAAGTTTGGGTTTCAAATGCTCTGGCAAGTGTTTGTTTTGTCAGCAGTGCAGCAGAGCTCCAAATGAAGGCTGAGTTCAACAATCAGTGTGGTTTGCCCTTTCAGTAGTTGTCTAACTAGAAAGACATTCAGAGGTCGTAGATGTCTGCCAAAGCCCGTGTACTATTTCACAGTTTTAAGGAAAGTGATCTGTACAAAATTGAGCGGTGTCTTCCTCTGAAAACACTCTCACCAAGCTTCATTAAATTTGGCTAGATAGATTCTGGGCTATATTGGAGATAATAGATTGTTCATAAAGATGTAACTGTGAACAAAACACTCCCATCTCTCTCTCTATATATATATCTATCTATATATATCTCTCTCTATATATATATAAAAAAAAAAACAGAATAAAAAAATAAAACCACAATTGATTTGGTGCTATAATTTTTCAATACTTATTCACTATGAAATCCATACAGGGTGTGAACTTGGGCGTGTTATTTAGACTGACACATATTTTGAATTTGTGCCATAGCATTTATGTGTAACCAAGAAACAATGTATACATCCGTCACAGGTAAATCCAGGCAAGCTAAAAAGGACAATTGAAGATAGAACAAACCAGGCAGAGATGACGTAATATAAGATGAATAACATTGCAATAAGTAACCAAGTCCCAGTATAACAAATAAAATAAGTTACATATTGCTATATATCCGTAGTCTGTTAACTAGTTTTATATAAACCTGGACAGTTAGAAACTGTACACGTATGGTCAGAAATTGACATCAACAAATAACTCTGACTGAATATTTGATCATTCAATTTTCAATAGGATCAAGGCCCGGGGCTTTGGGGAGGTGAATTCTAGAAGCTGAATGTTGGTCTGCTTTAGCCATTTGAAAACCAGTTTTAATATGTTTTTGGGATCATTGTCTTGTTGGATGACCCAACTGTGTCCAAGTGTTAACTGTCTAGCTGTTGATACAAAGTCAAGTTGAAGCACTTGTATACACAAGGTGAAACCAGGCAAGCCAAAAAGGACACTTGAAGATACAACAAATTGGTTGTTTATTGTAGTTTGCGGGTTGTTCCTGATCATCCCAACCAATTTTCTCTCATCTGAGGGTGATAATTTGGGTCCTCTTCCAGACCTTGGCAAAGTGGTGATACATCTGAATAACGTGTACTGATGTAAAGTTATTTGAACTGATGATCTTGGACTCTTGACTCTTAAAAGCCACAAATTACCATGATATTCATGCCCATAACCCCCAGTGTGTTTAAACTACTGACTGCAACTGTATATGTTTAGTCCCGGGGTTTCCGACCTAGACCTATGTAGTCATGAGATAAACGTGAGGAGTTTTAGTTATTTAAATGAAATGGTCTCATAAGATTTGAGGCCAATTGGGACACTGCATGAACTGAAAATACTTCATCTGACTTAAAGAATTTCGGAACACTTTTACTGCCTTTCTGCGAAGATCTGTCTGCTCACTACTTTCCTGTAATGTTTTTGTTTGTGTAACTCTTCTCTCCTCCTAAAAAGCAGAACTAACCCTGCCATATCTGTGGTAACACAGACAGTAATGAAAACAGGACACGTTGGTTGAAATCTGACACTGGACACAAACTGCAGTAACTCTGCAGCTGCGCCACCTGCTGTTCACAGAGGAGATCAACGCCCGGAAAACATCACCGGATGTTTGCCAGAAATCGCGCGATATCTGGCCTTGCGAGACTTCTGGCCGTTCTTTTCCCCCGGAACATCAGGCAAGATGGTAGGTGTTTGTGCTGTCTCGCAGCTAGTCAGACTACAATCTGTATGCATCGGGGCTCTAAAGTTGCTGATTTGAACAGCTGACTGTGTCATCGAGTAGTTCCACAGTTTTTATTACCATCCAGTAGAAAATCGTTGCTCCAAATGAAAGATTAAACTGTGTTTACAGCCTCCGTACTAGCCGGAGCTATGGCTAAGCTAACCCGGTGGTAGAGCGTTACTCGTAGCAGTAGCTGAAATAAAATAATCATTATAATATGACTGTAGTTGGTTGTGCATGGGTTAATAAACCGACCTGTAGACGTTTAATGGTGAAAATGAGTGACGCCTGTTAAATTCTGAAGCATCAGTGTATAATGCTAAGCTACGTACTCACCGGGGTGATCCCGTTTCTTCCAGGCGGATACCGAGATCAAGAAGAAGCGTACCTTCAGGAAGTTCACATACAGAGGTGTGGACCTGGACCAGCTTCTGGACATGTCCTAGTAAGTGACACAACTGATACGGTCACTGGTGATGTCATTCAGTCAACTAGAGTCACTGTACTACTACTGCACATCCTGACATAACGTAATTTGTTGTCACAGTAAGACACTCACAGAGGGGTTTAAGTGATAATACTGACTCACTGAAAATCAAATAAAATTCTCCAATTTTTAAGATGATTTATTCAACTCTGATGCTTGCAGGTCAAAACTGAATAAAGAGGCTTGAGACTGGACATTGAAACTAGAATTTACTTGTCTAATATTGGCAGCCATTATTTATTTTTTTTACCTTTATGTGTCTGACAGCATTGAATAGTTTGTGTATGGACACGTGATTTCTTCTCTTACTTGCATCTGGGAATTGGAGGCGTGAAACTTGATTTAAATTGTTTTCCTCTGTGTCCTGCCTCTAGTGAGCAGCTGATGCAGCTGTACTGCGCCCGCCAGAGGAGGAGGCTGAACCGTGGCCTGCGTCGCAAGCAGCAGACTCTCCTTAAGCGCCTGCGCAAGGCAAAGAAGGAGGCTCCTCCCATGGAGAAACCAGAGGTGGTGAAGACCCACCTGAGGGACATGATCATCCTGCCTGAGATGGTTGGGTCTATGGTTGGAGTGTACAATGGCAAGACTTTCAACCAGGTTGAAATCAAGGTGAGATGTCAGTCTGGTAATTGGCACAGTTTGAAAAGCTGGAGTGGCTTTATTTCTGCCATTGAACTAAATCAGCGCACCCATCCAATAAAACTGATCATATAGGCCATGATCATTTATTTTGGGGAAAAACAAAAGCTCCAAACAAAAGTGTGCATTGGTCCAGCAGGTATAACTGACCAATAAATTGACTTTTTGCCCATTTACAAACTCATTCAGTCTTCACTCGTTGCCCTCTAAAAATAAACTTTCAGCTCAAGTGGCTCACGGAGCGTTTTTATCAAATGTAACTAAAATATAATGTGGAACTGTAGCTACATCTGACCATGGTTGTCAAAGTGATTCAACATGACTGATAATTAGTACACTGGGAAAATACAGATACACTAAATTGAAAGAAAATATGGGACGTCTTAGTTGGTTAAAAAAAATCTAAGGGGTCTTTATCAGTTTTCCAAGAATGTATTTCCTATAAACTAGTTTTCCTGAAGTCACCGCTTTACATTGAGTACACTGTGATGCATAATCTACTGCAGTATTGGACATAATTTTAAACCTGCCATATTGTCCAGTTAAATTTAAAAAAAAGTTGACAGTAAAATATGCTATGAGCCAAATCACCCATTGTGATTGATTATGAATGCAGGATGATGCATAATAATCAGGTGTTGTAAAACCCCTTAAGTATGCCAGCTTCAATGTGCACAGATCCTGCATGCCTCCAAGCTTCCCTATTTTGGTAGTGACCAAGTCAGTGTGTTATTTTGTGTTTCCAAAGTGTACAGGTTTACACTGACAAGCAAAGGTTCCTGTGTTGATCCAGGGAGTAGGCCCACATCTCTTTGGGGTTGTCAGGAAGGGCATCCACCTTTTAAAGAAGGTGACAGCCAAAAGTAGTTTG